TCTCTCCTCTTCTTCTATCTACTCCACTCTCCTCTTTCCCTTCTCATTTTCCCTGATCACATTCTTTGTCTCCTTTCTCTGTCTTCTTCCTTCTTCCTCTTCCACATATAGATACTGTGTGCATATATACACATATACTTATATATGTACATAATATATGCATGTGAACATACACATATGCGCAAATATACACATATTATACATCATATGTTGTTTGTCCTTCATTTTTGAAGAGGACCAATGACATCATGGAGTGATGTCTTGACTCACACATGAACTAGATTTAAATTAGGAAGAGTCACACAAAGTCATCAGCTTCACTCTCTTTCAGAGTCATCAAAGTCCAGCGGCAAGACAAAAGTCAAGACAACTGGTGATAGCCTGGGATCAGTGGCTGGCCTTTTGACCAAGCTCTAAGTGCTCCTTCAGCTGCCTTCATGGCCATTGGAATCAATTGTTCTCCTGTACCCATTCTACCAGGTAAAGTCTTCACATGCTTGAAGTAAACACTCCCCTAACTCACTGATGGGTTTGAGGCCTGTTTGGTTACCTTCAACCTGGTTTAGCTTGTTTACTGAGATGCTTTTACCAGGGTGTAGCTGCTGTGCATGCTACGGCTTCTTGGAGCCACAGGTGAGTTGGGCGAATCACGTGGACACCAAAGATGGATGAGCAGCCCTGAAGAGGAGTGAGTAGGCTGTCACACCAGAGGTGCTGGTCCTCCCTGAACACCTCAGTACAGGGCAAGTCCTAACAGTTAGGAAGACATGGGTAGTTCAAATCCTGTTTTTCACTCTTGTTAGCTGTATGACCATAGGCAAGTCATTAAACCTCTCAGAGTGCTAGATGACTCTCAAAAACAATAAATTACAGCAAAGACACTCATTTGCTCATTTGAGTTTCAATGTTGAGTTCCTATTCTAAAGAAATTTCGGGTCTGGATTATAACTTTATACAAGTCAAATACACATATTTGTATAAACATACCCATTTCAGTACCTATCTTCATGTTAAAAGATTATGTCATACCACTCAGATGATTGGTTGTATATAACCTTGGGAGAAATGAGCTTGATGTTTCCTGCTTATCTCTAAAAATACTTCAAATGGCCAGATCTCTGAGTCTTTAACCCTTCATTTCCATTACTGCTGAGCAGCGAGGTGGCACAGTGGATAGAATGCTGGGCCTGGTGTCAGCAAGACTCATCTTCCTGAGTTCTAATCCAGCCTCAGACACTTACCAGCTGTGTGACCCTGGGCCACTCATTTAACCCTGTTTGCCTCAGTTCCTCATCTATAAAATAAGCTGGAGAAGGAAATGGCAAACCGTTACAATATCTCTTCAAAGAAAACCCCAAATGGGATCATGAAGAGTCAGACACAACTGAAAAACAACTGAACAACAATCTTTAACCCTTCATTTCCATTACTGTCATGCATGCTAAAAGGATTAAAGGAAAACCCAAACAAGTTAAGCCAGAAGGGATTCTGTGACAGAATTATTTCTGTTATTCTAAATGGGAAATATTAAATGTTCCTGGAGCTGAGATTGAAGAATCTGGAAGATTACTGATAACTAACTTTTTGGTCAGTTATGAGTTCTTCACTTAAACAGAATAATGGTTATAACTCACATTCTTATAGCACTAGGATAAAGTTTGCAAAGAACTTCAGATGCTTAATTTCATTTGATGTTCAAAACCATCCTGTAAGTTAGGGAGTATTAGGACTGAAAGGATCACAGAATTTAGAGCTGTGAGCAAGCTTAGAATTGATCTCATTCAACCCTTATAATTTGTAGATAAAGTAAGCCCAAGAGAATGGGACTGTCCCAGCTCTACATAGAGAGTAAAACAGCAAGGCCAGGATCCAAGCTGTCAGGAAACACTAACAAATGTTCTATTCATTCATTCATTCATTCATTCATTCATTCACTCACTCATTCATTTATTTATTAAGTAAAAGTTGCTTAGAAATATCTGCTACACTGCAGCCCGGGGGGCACTTGAATTAACAAGTACCACTTAGAATTTAGGAAGGTCACTGTGGCTGGCATGACTAACCCATTATCTCCCCTAGCCCACCTGGCTCCTCTTCCTACATATCCCACCACATACCCTGACATACCTCTTGATATACTGCTTATGAATGAAGTTACAACCAAAAATGTACTAGAAGGCAAGGTTTCTCAGTGGTCTTTAAAAATTCAAAAATTGTATCCATGACTAAAGTTGGTATTATGTGTTTGCATTGATATACATGTAATAGGTAGTACAGTGTGCCTGTAGTCAGAAAGACCTGAGTTCAAATATTGCCTCAAACACTAGCTGTGTGACATTGGACAAGTCAATTATAGTTTTTTTTCTGTTTTCCTCATCTATGAAATGGAATAATAACACCACCTACCTCATAGAGTTGTTGTGAGAATCAAATGAGATAATGTTTGTAAAGTGATTAGCACAGTGCTTAGCACATAGTAGGCAATTAATTCCTTTATCAGCCTGAGTCTTTGGCTTGAAAGGTATATGCCACCTAGCTGCTATTAATGATTGACAGTGGAATAATGTATTGTGGCTCTCAGGAGTATGCGTCTTTTGGCAGGATTCAACTTAATTTTATATGGCAAATATTTAATCAATCCCTAGTATATCAAAATTGTTACCTAAGCTGAGCTTAATGTCTCAACCAAAAGGTACTATTTTACTGGTGGAATGGTGAGCATTAGCAACAGTCTGGGAAGTGGAGGCAGTAGAGAAGGGCATAGGGATATGCCGTATGAGAATTCTCAGTGGGGTGGTCCAATTTCACAATAATATTATTGTGAACAATAACAACTCATATTTGATAACAAAAGATCTCTGGCTATGTCAATTTGGGGAATTTCTTATATGGGAGTTCTTTCCACCCTATGCGTATGACAGTCCACATATGACTTAGTAGATGAGTTATGTTTTATCTGAGGTTGTTGTTATCATTGTTTAGTCATTTTTGGTAGTGTCCGACTCTTCATGACGCTCTTCAGGATTTTCGTGGTAAAGATACTGGAGTGGCTTGCCATTTAATTCTCCAGCTTGTTTCAGAGATAAAGAAACTGAAGCAAACAGGGTTAAGTGACTTGCCCTGGGTCACTCAGCTAGTAAGTGTCTGAGGCTAGATTAGAACTCAAGAAGAATCATCCTGACTCCAGGCTCAGTACTCTATCTACTGCATCACCTAGCTGCCCTCCATTGCTAAACCTGAAAGCCAGTTAAGTTAACTGGCCTGTCTGAGGTTACATGGATAGCTAATTCAAGACAGGCCAGACTTGTGGTCTCCAGTGCCCAAATTCAATGTTTTTTTTTTCCACTTCCTCACACGAATGCCAATTTCTAACCTAGCCTTTTCAAATCATAGTTACTCTTGTACTATGGTTTTCCTCAGGCTGTTGTAGTCAGCTGTTGTGTTCCTTCTTTCACATCTGTGCTTACTTTACATAGGTCCCACTTCTCCCAATTTAGGATGATGTTGAAATTTTGTCAGAATTGATCACAAGCTTTCTTAAAGATCCCATCTGCAGAACACCAAAATCCTCAATGGAAATTTCCCTTCAGAACCATTCAAGCTTAATAAAAAGTATGAGGAAAGAAAGGAAAAAAATAATAAAGAACACTGCATTGGAGATGTTCAAGGTCTTAGCCCTCACTAACTGTGATTCCTTTTGACCCTTCTTGCCCCAAATTTCCTCAATAAAATGGAAGGAGTTGAAATAGATAATATCCAATGTTATTTTCAGACTAAAATAAATATTGTGTCATGATTTAAACTTATATCATTATTAGACTTCATTCTCCTCAGTCTGTTGACAACTTTAAATTTTAGCTCATCCTTAAACACATTAAATAGGCAGAGTGCCGTGGCCTAGGGAGGTGAGGCCTGGTGTGCACTCTCCTAGTTGCCCCACATCTGGAGTATTGTCTCCAGTTCTGGGTACTTTATTTTACACAGGGCTCTGATAAACTGGGGAGGATGGAAGAAGCCATCCATGAATGTAAAGGGATTTGAAATTATTTCATATAAAGATCATTTGAAAGAACCAAGAACATTTATCCTGGAGAAGAGAACACAGAGAAAACATGTCTGAAGGGCCATCACACAGAAGAGAGATTAGGCTTGTTTTCTGGTACAAATGAGGGAGGAAGTAGGATTAATGAGCAGCAGCTGTATAGCAGCAGATTCAACTGCTCTGACTGCCCTCCCATAATTCTGTGTGGTTATTATAATTGTATTTAGAAAATAACTTTATTATACCATCTTTCTGCAAACTACGGCAGAGGTAAGAGGCAACAGCAACAATAGCAGCAATAACAAAGATAATAATAATAGCCCACATTTGTATGGTGCTTTACAGTTTGTAAAGCACACTCCTAACAAAAACTTAGGGAAGTAGATAGCATGAAATTTTATTAACTCCATTTTAGAAGGAAAAAAACAAACAAAGGCTGAGATATGGGAGGGAATCTTACTAAGATTACACCATCATAAAGCTGAGACTCCAAGTCCAGAAGTTTCTCCAATATAACCACATTGTCTAGTAATTCAACTCAATAATTCAACAAGCATTTATTCTGCACCTACTATGTGACAGCAACCATAGTCTTTAAGGATACAACAACAAAAACAAATAGTTCCCACCTTTAGGGAACTTATATTCTTCTGTAGGGGAGAATATCTTAAGAATATCACTACTGGAAATAGCTAAGTCCTCTATAAACTTAATGAAACTTTCCTAGGGTATTTATTTCTTTCATTTCTGAGAATGATTTCTGGTGACTGAATAGTTCTTATTTGGCCTGTCAGCCTCCATAGCCTGTATACCATTTCATTAGCATATTAATTACTAGCCCTGTGGGAACCCAGAAAGTTATAACCCACAGTTGCATTATTTCACAGGACAACTCATTTGGGCACTTTACAAGAAAGGCAAGATTTAGGTTTTAATATAAAGCCTGAACTTGTCTTACCCTCTCCAACGTGATTTCTTCAAATTCGTATTCAATTTCTGTTCCATTGACCTGTGGAGAAGGAAAAAGACAGACATTAAACACACATCAATTTTTTAAAAAAAATATACTGCATTAAAATAAAAGATGCTGAGGAACAGTGTTTGTGTGTCTAATGGAAGGGGGGGGCAGTGAATGTTATCATCTGGATTGTTCATGAGTCAGATTTTCCTGGCTTCAGGGACTATGTGTATTCATCAAAATGAAAATGTAATACAAGCCAGTTTAAAGGACATAGGAAGTTAAACTTCACTGGGAATATCCTGGGGTCCTTAATCCCTAAGTGTGAACATTTTTTCTCCCAAGTTAAATGAAATACCCATTTTAAAATGATAGAGGATAAGCAACCTACAAAGCATAACTTTGCAGTTAGAATGAAAATCACATTGAAAATGCATTTGATGCAATGATGGGACATGGAATGGAACAAGCACTTGACAGTGTTTGTAATAACAACGGTACAAGAGTATGACATTTCTTCAGGTAAACCATCACCCTCAAGCAATATGTCAGGGAAGGAGACAGAGGACCCTGCCTCCTGATTATTAGATCAGGGACAAGCAAATCCATTCCCATTATCACTGTGTCATATTTATTGGGAGGCCCTGGTGTAAGATCCACATGTTTTCTCTTCTTTGACAATGAGGAAAGAAGGAAAGAGAAGGTACTTGAAATTCCCAGTGAGTAACCAGCTAAGCCATCCAACCAAGTTGTACATTGATCTCAAGCCTAATGGAGAGAAATGCATTTTAAATACAGTCAGACAACATATAACATATGCCTTGGAATGGAACAGATGCACAAATGCATGAAGGGTAATTTTTCAACTATCTTTGAAGTATTCCCTTCCCATATTTTTATCTGTCAGCAGTCCGAGTTCTGCTCAGTGCAAGAGAATGTCTAGGAAAGAAAAAAAAATCCTCAAATTGGCTGTTTCTTTTGTTCTGAATGTGATGCAGCATAGAAACAAAGATTGTCAGTCATTTGGGATATCAACCAGCAGGACTCGGAATTCCAACTACAAAACCATGATTTGCATACAGTGCTAACCGCTGGCTTGCTTTCCCCTTAATTCAAAAAAGCTCACACATTCTCTGGTTTATGTTCATGGACAATTTGTGGTCTGTTCTACTAAATTATGTAAGAAAATGACAATATAGTTTCAAGTTTAACTTCGGACTAATTTATTCAAGGCTTAGGTCAAATGTTATGTCCCCCTTGAAGGCTTCCTGGAGGTCTCTTCTGCACTTGAACATTATCCCTTCCTTCCCCTCATCCCCCTGCCCCAAGTAATCTAGACTTATCAGTTCTTGGAACACTTTATAATGTCCTTTTGCATTTGTAATATTTTAATGTTTTGTATTTCTCTCTGTCCATACCTTATCATGCACTGAAAGCAACTTTAGTGCAGAGACTATATCTTTTGCCCTTTATCTGAGTGAAATCCTGGAAGAGCATCTTGAAACCAGTAATAGATGTGCAATACATGCTTTTTGAACTGATTGAATGAATAACATGTAACAATAATCAATTAACATTTAGTGAGGATCTGCTAAGACCAGATGCACACAAGGCATTTGGCAGACAAAGACAAATGTGAAACCATACTTGCCCTGGGGGAGTTTATAAGCGAGCAAAAAGGGACCAAGTGTACACATAGAGATACATACAAAATAGATAGGAGATTATTCATGGCAAAGGCAAGAGTAACAAAGGGGATCAGGAAAAGCTCCACAGAGAAAGGGCACCTTGAGACAAGCCTTCAGAGAAGCTCTAGTTTCTAAGGTAAAGAAGTGAGAATGTACCCTATTACAAGCAAGGCTGACACAAAGCATGGACACGAAGAGAGAACAAGTATTGTGTGTGAAGAACACTAAGAAGGCCAGTTTGGCTGAATTATATGTGAAAGGCAATAATGTATTATAAAGCTGAAAGGTAGACTGAGTCTAGGTTGTGAAGATCTTTAAAAGCCAAACAGAGTAGTTTCTTTTTAATCCTAGAATTAATAGGGAGCCACAGGAGTATACCGAGTAGGGGACTGACATAGTTAGAGCTATGATTTAAGAAAATCACTTTGGCAGATGATTGGGACAGAGATTGAAGTATTTTGTCTATACCACTGCAATAATAAGCAATTGAGACTGCTTTGTATTATATGCATTTCTGTATACACCTTATCTCCTATAATAGACTATAAGCTTTGTGAGGAAGAGCCAAAGGTTTTGTCTTTTTCCACTGATATACCCTTCATCCACCTCCCTCCAGTACATAAGTACAGTTATCTCTTTCACATCATGGGGGTTAGGGGCATGGGCACCCCTACAAAACATGGGTAAAATTTTTTGGTCCTCCCTTAGTACCAGAAAAGAAGTCTGAATATTTTTTTTTCTCGCAAGGGATGCTGATGTTATACAGTACCATACTCATATTTTATGCATTTCTGAGTTTCTAAACTTTTTCTGTGTCATCTGCTGGCCTTCACGTGTCATTTGCAGCTTCCACAAAACTCCCCCCCAAATTCCCATTTAATTTCTTATGCCAACCTGTGATATATTGAAATGGCTGTGGGGAAAGTTATGACATGGAAGAGATAACTATACTATTCAATTTCCAGTCTGTGGTGAGGAGTGTGCTTTGTACATATTCAGGGAACTTCTTTCAAGTATTTGAATGGTTGCTTTACAGAAAGCAATTTAGCCTTATTCTGCTTGGTCACAAAGGCAGAACTAATACTCAGAAATGGAAATCATGGCAAGATAGATTTCAGTTCAATATAAGGCAAAAAATGCTAACAATGAGTCCCAACCTAAAATGAAGTAGGCCGTTGCTGCTTGGAGGAGAGAGTTTCCCAACACTAAAAGTCTTCAGGGAGGGAGGGAGGAGGCCAAGCCATCAGTGAACCCAGGATCAAAACTAGAACTAAGGCTGGAAGGGTTCCTAGGACTTGTCTGGTCCAACCATCTTGCTTTACAGACCAGGAAACCTCTGGAGAAGTTAAATGACTTGCCCAAGGTCACATAGGCAGTAAGCTCATCTGATTCAAACTCAGGGACCCTGGTCCTCTCTCCAATTCATTGTTCACATAGTTGCCAAAGCAATTTTCCTAAAGCATAAGTCTGACCCTGTCACTCCTCATTCAAAAATTTCAATGCCTCCTTGTTGCCACACTACCAGGCAGTCAAACTCATTTTCTCCCTATTTCTCAAAGATCCATCTATCATCTCTGTCTTTCTATATGGTGATCCCTAGAATTTACCACCTTGACATACCTAGAATTTACTGCCTCCCCCTTCCACATCTTGAAATCCCTTCCTTCAAAGCTCAGCTCATGAAGCCTTTCCTTATTTCCTTATTCCATTATCTTCTAATGCCTCCCCATCCTGTCTCTCCCCCATCTCTATTACCTAGGACTTTTAGAAATCTGTTTTGTATATATATCTACATTTATACACTCCTTCCCTAACAAAACATAAGTTCTTTGACAAAAGAACTGCTTACTTTTCCCCTTTGTATCCCCAGCCTTTAGCACAGTTACTGGCACACACATGCTTGTTGATTTGATCCTGACTCTAGTATTCTCACTGTTGCATCATATTGGATGATACTGATGGGATACATTTGGGTAGAGGTTGGAGCTCTGCTCCCATCTAACAATTCTATCATTCTCAAATTATTAAGTGTTTGTTCAGGGAATCTTAAATAACCCAACCATCAACAATTATGATGTGGAATTTCATCAGCCATGGTACATCTTCTCAACCCTGAGAATGCTGAAAACATGGCAGTCCTTCTACAGACTCTGGAGTAAAGATATATATATTTTTCCTCATTACATGATCTAATTGGTTAATCATATTTTACTGGGTTGCTACATTACCAAACAGCCCTAAACAAAATTTGATTTTCTAGACTTAAGGAAGTTAATGGCTTAATAAATGGTGGCTTGATGGTATTACCAGGTAGATTGTAGCTGCTCAGAGATTTTCATCATTTGTGTCTAAAAGTAATAAAAGCCGAGATGCATTGGAGGATGATAAGGATCTGACAGCAGAGAACCAGGGTTCAAATAATAATCATGTCCCTTACTACATATGTGAATTTGGATATTTTAGGCCTCATTTATATCCTTTAAGTTTTACATACTTAGTCATGCATATGCACATATGCTTGGTTTGAAAGCTAATTATTGATGTTTGAGGGAGAGCTGGTAGAGTCTAGGCATGTTGGAAAGAGGGGGAGAGGAAAAAAATAACTTTAATTTCTTCTTTGAAGGCTCTTTCTGGCTCAGTCGTCAATACTCCATGCCACTCAAATTCTTTTCCTCCTTTCTCACACCCCAACCCTACTAGTAGTTTTTGGCCACACATAGCCTTTATCAAGGGGTCAGACCACATGTGTTAATAGAAGTGGCTTGAGCCACCATGCACATACACACATACACATGAGTGAGTGTATAGGTTCCATTTCATGCGATATCTCCCAGTACATCAGATCAAGGGAAGGTTAATTCCATTCCATAACTGGAGAAGGGGATGAGAAAAAGGGAAAAAGGGGAAAAAAGACTCACTATGAGACAAAATGAGAAGATTGAGTTAATCTAATATTTCTTCAATTTATCAATGTGATTCTATAAAGCTTTTCTTTACTCCACTGCTTCTAGAGACCTTTGTTTCCTGTGTTATTAATGATTTTTCCTTGATAAATAATTTATTTTTATTTTTCAACATTCATTTCCATAAGATTTTAAGTTTTAAAATTTCTCTCCCTTCCACTCCTCTCTCTCCCCCTTCAAGATGGCATATAATCTTATATAGGCTGTAGTTATACATTCATATTAAGCATATTTTCCTACTAGTCATGATGTAAAGAACAATTAGAACTAATGGGAGGAACCATGAGAATGAAGCAATAAAACAAAACAACAAAGGAAAAGGAGAGCAAATAGTATGCTTCCATCTGCATTCAGAATCCACAGTTCTTTTTCTGGATGTGGATAGTATTTTCCATCATGA